CTCTCTCTCTCTCTCTCTCTCTCTCTCTCTCTCTCTCTCTCTCTCTCTCTCTCTCTCTCTCTCTCTCTCTCTCTCTCTCTCTCTCTCTTCGCCACGTGGAGGGCCAGGGAGGGGAGGGTGTATCCCGGGGTCTGGGTTGGAGATGGGGGCTGCGGAACCCTGTCCGAGCCATTGGGTAAAAAAGTGAAAAACAATTTTTTTTGGGGGGTGAGTTGGCGGCCGGGGGGAATCGAATACAGAAAAGATTAACTGATTGATTCATGACTGATTGATTGATTGACTGCTTGATTCGTGACTGATTGATTAAAAAAGAAAAAAAAAATGTGTGCGTATGTGCATGTGTTTGTGTGTGTGTGTGTGTGTGTGTGTGTGTGTGTGTGTGTGTGCATGTGTGTGTGTTTGTGGTGCTGTGTGTGTAAACACACTCCGATATAGCTCCAGTACACAACAAGTGTAATCCGCCTGGCAACCCCCAAGGAGAGACCCATGCACTACACACCTCGAAGACAATTCTCACATAACTCCATAGTGGACCGGACGTTGACAACTGAACAGTACAAACAGAAAGGACATAGGCAGGACGGCACAGGGGAGGTGGGCACGGGGGAGGTGGGTGGGCAAACAAACAGCACACAACGCTGAGGCACGAAAGACAGTGCAGCAAAAGACATAGACGAGGGCATGGGGAACGTGGATGGGCAGACGAACAGTGCAAGGCAGCAAGCCACATGCTCGGCTGAATTGCATGGGCCAACAAACAGCTCAAGACAAACAACAACAAGATAAAAACAACACCAGCCAAAAAAAAAAAAAGCTGATGATATATTGTTTCGTCGGAGTTGCACCGACTCATCAGGAGGCTGAACCCAGACAGTCACACGCGCAAGCGTGTGTGCACCCACGCGCGCACACACACACACATGTGCGCGCGTGCACGTATGTTAATGTGTGCACTCACACTCACACACAAACATGCACGCGTGTACGTGTGTTGTCATATCCGCTATACACTCAAAAAAAATGTGACTGTGCCAGACTGTTTTGTCGGACTTTCACCGACTCATCATGAGGTTGTGTGTGTGTTTGTGTCGCTGTGTGTGTGTGTGTGTGTGTGTGTGTGTGTGTGGGTGGGTGTGGGTGTGGGTGTGTGTGTGTGTGTGTGTGTGTGTGCCAATCAAACATAAAACAAAGAATCAAACACCTTTGTTTTTCTGTTCTCCTTTCCTCTTTTTTTGCTTTCTTCAATTTTTTTTTGATTCTGTCGGGAAAAAGAAAAACAAAAACAAAAAAAAAAATGTGGTGGTAGATCTCAAAAAGATCGGCAACCCTGTTTTTTTTCTTTGCTTATTTTTTGCCCGCAAAAAAAAAATCTTCACGGGTTGCGGCGAATCCCGGTAAACGGGCGTTTCAATGGCATTTTATTGCGGTTTCAACACGTGTTGAAAGATTCAATGTGGGACCCGCATTGAATCAATTTCCAGACACTCAGCACACAGGGATGTGGGCAGCTGCCGCTCAACCACAATCAACGTGGGCAGCCTTGTACGTGCGAGGCATAGTAAAAGATGAGAGCTGTTGCCCCGAAGAAACGTCAGCTAAGCACAGTTCTGAATGCCAGTGAATGGTTCTTTTTTTTTTTTTTTTTTTAACAAACGAAGCCCCATCTATTCTGGGGGGCATCAGTCCGGTTGCTCATCACGGGCAAGCCAAAAGTACATGAGAAGCAGTTGGAGAGGAAAAGAAAGAGTAGATCCGACGAGAGTCAGATACAGCCACCCTTGCAGCACTAGTCGCTTACACAAGGGGGTGGTTGCGTCGGCCGCTCTCCCCCCGAACCATGACTCATTCGCAGGGTGCACTTGCTGACCGGGAAGCTTACTAGCGGCACCCAGACACACAGCATGTGGATCCTGTAAATGGCGGGGCGCGGGGGAGGGCCGCCTGGCAGCCTCACCGGTCGGTCAATGTTCAAATTCTAACTGAATATCCATTCCTCGGTCATTATCCCTACCTTCTCCTCAATGGTACTATCTCAACTGTTTCATTATCGTTTGCTTGACATCCGGATACTTTGCCTATCGCCAACTTTAGTACTATAAGCTACAATTTATCATATGCCTATATGCTTCATGCTTGGCCTCGCCTTATGTGACTATTAGGGACATAGTCCAAGGAAGTTCTGAAAAGGTTCTATTATGATTCGCATTTTTTTGTTTTTCTGCAACTCGAATCTACTCCTCTGGGTGGAGTAGGGGCTGTTGTGGTGGAAATTTAACACACACACACACACACACACACACACACACACACACACACACACACACACACACACACACGTATCCATGGCTGAGTGGGTGTGTAGAGTGGGTTTTAATGCTGTGACAGACAAGTTTCCCAGACTTGCTGCCATTCTTGTCAGGATTGCAGGGTTGGTGTGCGTAACGTTGACCACTTTTCTGAGGGGAATAGCTAATCCTGGGCTACGTAGTGAGTCCTTAGACTCCTTATCCATCAGTCAAATGCATCCTGGGCAAACTGTAGGGGTTCAACCTCCTGACGAGTCACTGAAAGTCCAAAGAAACAGTCTGGCACATTCATGCTCTTTTTTTTTGGAGTTGTGTATAGTGAAAGCTTTCACGAATCTCAGTACCCTCAGGCTGGTTCAGTCCCGATTCCTATCCCCAAGTCCCAAGTCCCAGATCCCAGTCCCAGGTCCCATTCCGTGTTCCATTAGTGGTTCCAACTTCCAACCACTAGTACAATATTTATGAATACTCTTTATTATTATTTTATTTTATTTCATTTTTAAACATGCGGAGCAGCACGTGCTGGGAACCAACCCAGCATCCCATACGAAGACATGTGAAAACATTTATGAACAAATCTAGGCTACCAGCAGGGCCGCCCGGGTCACCTTGTTTGCCCGGGCGGCCCGGCCGTGCAAGGGCCACAGAAGGTCCCAGCCAAAAGAAAAAAAGAAAAAACAAAAAAAACAAAAAATTATGTTATGGAGAAAAATAAACTGAACAACTTTTGCCTCAGGGTCACATCCAAATACTTCACCGAATTGCAAATAAAAAATAGAGTTCAAAAATATTTCTATTTTTTTATTTTTTTTATTGCCCGACCGGGCAAGTGGTCCCGGGCCACTCTGCTAGCCTAGGAACACATTGAGATACCGGGGCCATTACCCGACTTCGGCTTGAGAGTATCCTCCATGATCATGAACAAGCTACTGAGTTTTGAGACCGATGATGAGAAAAACTACAAATCCTTTTTTTATGATCACTGGACACCTGAAATCCACAGCAGTTTTCCGAACGCTCAAGTACCTCAGGGTTTTCCAACAGATCCTAACAAAACTCACCTAAACTGACTTATTCTCTAACAAACTCATCCAGGCATCACGCCCCCTATCTGCTAGGTTACAGAGCAACACGACTCACTCCAGCTCCGGCCAGAAGCCTAGAAAGGTTAGTTAAGTAGATTGTGGCCAGAAGCCTAGAAAGGTTAGTTAAGTAGATTGTGGTGGGAAGTCACTGATAGATAACAGTTACGCACGGAAGAGTATTTTTAGAAGCTACCACAAGCTTCTGCCAAGATCCCAAGAGTCATTAGGCCAGGTGCCAGTCCGTCCAACCAAGCAGCCACATCGAGGACAATCCGTAAGCTTCCTGGAAGCAGCAAACCAACACCAGGGGACCAACCCATAACCAGCAGATGATGTCTGGAAGGCGGATCAGCAAGTACAAAAGCACAGCAGCACCTGAACGTCGACACAATATGCCTCGCACTTATTGCAGAAGCGCTGCTCGGGTCTTTTGCGTTAGAGAAACGACTGAGCAAGAGAGTGAGCATAGAACAGTACTGAACGGCGCTGGGCACCATAGCCATAGCAGTAGTCTTCAGCGCTGGGCGCTGTAGGTGGTAGGTAGTAGAGTGGGGAGAGCTGTCTCTTATACACATCTAGATGTGTATAAGAGACAGTCTATATCTCCTACTCCCGTCTCCTACCCTTCATCTACCCTCATCACTATTCCTACCATCCCCGGTTCTCGGCTACTTCCCCGCTGCCACGACCCACTCATATGCAACAATCGTTCTTACTAAACATGACCCCGTACTCTGATCATTTCGCCGAAAGCTTGCGTTCTCGTCTTCTTCCATTCACTTCCCTCCTCTTGTGCGTTCGCAAAACCCGCTCAGTCCCTCTCTTACTTGGCTCTGYGCCTGCCTTCCTCGTACCACGAAAGGCGGGAAATTCAAACTGTGTCACGCGAATGCGGTTCGARAATCCTCTACTACGGCGCCATATGCCCGTTTTTTTTCTAACTTCGTATCTCATTTTTTTGTGGTACTTCACCCATTTTTAGTAGTGTACACACCAAAGCAAAATGTGGATCAGGCTTCTAAGTACTCGCCACTGGGCCCACATCGTCCGGAGATCTACTCCAAACAACAGAAACTCCAAAAAACATAAATCGACTCCCTTGGTTCTCAAAAACCCTTTCTCATCGCAGTAGGACTGCAGACTCGAAAACAAAGGGTTAGTAAATCAAAAGACAAGGGTTAGTAAACCAAAAAAAGACAAGGGTTAGTAAATTAAAAAAACCTCTCCAGCCCGGGGTATTCATTGAGGAGGTAAGTCCTCAACGTACCACCGGACACCCTGGCAAACCGCGCCAGGGCCCCGAGAGAGACCTCCGGGGGGTAGCCCCGGAGGCAAATTTCCATCATCAGAGCGGCAATGGACGCCATCATAGCTTCTTCTGAGCTTGCCAGCTTCGACATTCTGATGAGATTCGAAAAAACAGTAGCTCTCTTACATGATTTCTTCGAGAACGAGGTATAATCATGCAGCGACTGGATAGTTAAAGCCCCATTCTCTGCGAGGGGAAGTTGATTCCTTGTTCTTGGGTGTACGGCGATCTTCAGCGGCTGAATCTGTACGATTATCCTGGTGCCTAGGAAATCAAAGGCATTCTTTCCCTCGTCTTTCTTGACCAGTGTCAGCTCTTGATCGTAACATTTCTCAAACCTCGCCATCATCATCTCTGCGTTCCGTGCCGAGTGTTCATTGTCAGAACTGAAGGCCGCAATGATAGCCACGTCATCAATCATGCGTAAGCCCATTACCAAACCGGCTCTTCTACCCAGTGATCGCACAAACTTGGCTTCAGTGCATGCACACACCAGGCACGCGATGGCTGGAATCGAGTTTCGTCCCATAGGAATGCCAAATATTTGCTTGAACATTCCTCCGGTGCACTTCACGAAAGTGTGGTTCAGTTCGAACTCGACGATAGCTCGGATGTCTTCAAAGCTCATGAGAACAAATCCTTCTTCCTTCCTTGCTCTCTTCGTCATCGCACATATCTTCCCCCTCGCGCATACTTTCACTTCGATCATTCCTCTCTCCTTGTGACACTCAATCAACCATGCGACTGCCTCCAGTATGCTCTGATGAGACAGTCGGGAGAACATCTCTTTGACATCATAGCGTCTAGCATACGCTGCGTCGGCTTTGGCTCCCAACTTCGACTCCACCCGACCGCATACTTCTCTTAACTCGTCCATTGATTTCAAATCAAAGTGGCATCTCCGGTCCAACCCAAACAGCATATATCTAATCGCCTTCCCCGCTCTCGACCCTGCTAACCTAGCTGGGTCGTGTGTGCATGGCAAAATGGGACGCCATCTTTGAAGATCCTTATCCTTTGGAAGGACATATGCGTGTCCTACCTTCCCGGAAGTCTGCCACCTAGCTACTCTCTGCAACCCCTTCTCTTCATACTCCCTTTTCATCTCCGCCAAGACTTCAGTCTCGCTTCGAAAGACCTCAACAAAGCTCGCACTCAGGTTGAAGATCTCCTTACACGCTGTAATGTACAAGTACGGGCAAGGTATCAGACTAGCGCCCGGGTTCCTATCTACGGGAACCGCCACCAAGTTCTGGAAATCTGTCATCACCTCTCTTACCTCTCCAGTCGACATTGCCAACACGCCAACGCCCCTCCTAGTATCAAAGCATCTTTCAATCGATTCTCGATCAATATTCATGGCCTTCCCCTTCGCCCACGGCTTAACTCCCTCCAACACACATTCTGCCAACATCTTATGCGAAATCCTCATTCCTCTGGTGACATTCTTTGAGTTCATCACGAATGCTGGAATGCCATGGACGTGCTCAAGCCTCACTTTTACGTGTCTCTTAAACCTGGGTAAGTCCAGATAATGAAACGTGCATGTAGCCTCACTTTCCCCCGCGTACAACCAATGGTTGTGGATCACACCTCCCACCGTGACACTCTTCTTCAGCACAACCCTGACCCGTCTCCCTACAAAGGCACGAATGTACTTATCTGGCAAAATCTGAGCGAGAACGTTCGAGGTCAACCGTCTTACCTCACCCAGTCTAATCAACGGTGAAAATGGGATCTTCACGCATGGCCTCCTACGCATTTCTACTCCATACTTCCTTCTCGCAACGTTCGAAATTGCGTACCTCAGATGATTGTGAGTCTTCTTCTCACAGAACAGTCCGGAAGTCCTATGAAGATTGATGATCTCTTCAGAACCTAGCTTATAAATGCTACGAATATTCCCGGGTCGGCGCATCAATTCCCGGAGAATGTTCTTTCTTCTCGTCACACTTGATGAGATTACCACAATACTCCTGATCGAAAAGTTACCCCCCTCTTTTAACTTTTTCCTACATTCGCGAAGAGGAATACCCTTCCCCCCAATCTCCAGAATACAACCCCCCACTTTCCCCTTAACGCTCTGCCATTTATCCTCCCACACTACTCCCCCGGACGAGCGAATCTGCTTGATCCTGCTGTCCTCCTTCAATTCCAAAATCGCGTCAATGATCGAGGCTTTCCCATTAAACAAGATCACACTACCTCCCCTCTCGTTATTGTTCCGCTTCCCCCTTTCCCTTTTTCCCTTCTTCTTCCTTCGTGCTATTCCCTCCTTCCTACTTCCCTGGGTGTTCAAAGCAGGAGAAAACCTCCGGATCAATGTGCTTTCTACTACGAAGGGGTCAGATGCATTACATACCAAAGGGAGCACGAGATATTTATCCCACCCAAAGATCTTCAACCAGTTATGCAGCTTCGGGGCATTTCCTGCCTCCTTTCTAATTGCTCCTTTCACGTGATCAGACCAACGTATGATAATCTTCCTGGTGGTAGCTCCAATGTAGAAGTGGCGGCAGAACGGGCTCACAACAGCATATACCCCCGGATCATTGGTCGGCGCATTGTTCTCGCCTACAGCAGTAATCCCAATCCATTTCTTACCCCACGGACATTCTCCTTTAATCACACACAGCAAAAACATCCGAAAAATCACATCTTCTTCATCACTCCTCAAGCCTCTCCTACCCTGATTCACCTCTTCCCCTCTTTGGCGCATCACATCCCGGAGCTCCCCCAATACTCCCATGACATCTACCTTTCAAATATCGGGGAAATCCTTCCACTTTCAACAAACTCACCATAAGCAAGCTTGGCTTTGCACTTGACCAATTCGCCAATCGCAACGTCGCGCGGGGACCATTCAATTCCCTCACGATTGCACAATTTCCTCAGCTCGGACACCTTTTTCTCCGACAGATGTCGATGCATTTCGATAGCAAATTCCAGCATGTCCGTGCTTGCGGCATCCTGGCCTTCCCCTCTCCTGGCCGCAGGCGGTGTCCGTACTTCATCATCTTCCTCCACCATCACCAGATCACCTTGTTGCCCCTTTCGCAGGTTCCTTGATACCACCCCTCCTCCCGCAGTTTCTTTCCTCTTTCCCTTTCGCCTCTCTATCGCCTCGATCAATTTCCCCGCTTCTTCCTTAACTTCTTCGCTATCATCTTCCGATTCAACGAGATAGCTCCTGATCTCCCGAAGCATCCTAGCCTTGGTCTTGGGCGACTTCTTCTTAACCGAAGATTCTCCTCTGTCCACCGTCTTCGAGTGCTGCGCCAAGAATCGTACCAGCCTCGCTTCCATCCGAGCTTCCCGTGCCTCGGCTTCTTTCAACCTATCGTGCTCTCTCCTATTCTCCTCTTCTTTCCTCCTTTTCTCCTCCTCCTCCTTTTCTCTCCTTTTCAAATCTGCTTTCTGTTTCCTCATCTTCTCCCTAGAGAACTCCTTCATTTCTTTCATATCATCATCCTGTGTCCCATTCGTGATGGTCGGTGGACCGGACACGGGTCTCCCGTTACCACCAGACCAACAGTTACGGGCATAATGCCCCACCTTACCACATATATGGCACATAATAACGCCCGACTGCACCCCCGTAAACGGAGCAACGTTCCCGTAGCCCTGGAGTGGTGCGCCTTGCACCGGTATGTTAGCCATCTCTACCTCCTTCTCCTCAGTCTCCTTCTACTTCTCCTCCTCTAATCTCTAACTATACACTCAACGCTATATAGCCTCCCGAGAAACTTTTCTAATAAGTCGATAAACTCCTCCTTCAACTCTTCGTTACCAAAGAGTACTGTTACGTACAGTTGGGGAATCGAATCCTCATACACTCATTCTTCCAACTCACGCCATAAATGAAAAAACTTCGTCTCCCTAAAGTTCCAATCAGTCATAATTATCCTCTCCACCGCTACACCGCGCTACCCCCACGTTCCTATCTTACCCTGACATCTCGAACGGTAAACCCTTACTCCATCCCCGGTCGACGTCGCTTCTTGAGTAATGATCACTCATCAAGATAAGAAGACGATCACGCTTCAGAGTTCCCTCTCGATGAACTAGAGCGCGGACGATCACGACTGCTCTGAACCACGTACGGGCATCTGCACAGCGTTCGAAAACGGAGTACAGAGGGCCGATACCTTTCTCCCACGACGTAGCCACCGCGTATTGTCGCACAACCCGGTTACCACGCTATTCGAGAATAGAAGAGGAGAAGAAACAGCAACCCGCCGGATCAAAATCTTAAGATATTGCAGAAAACACCCGCACACAACGCCTCTACGCGTTTCGCCGCTGGTGTGCATCAGCAGGCTCATCAGGAGGCAAACCAGAGTTTGAGATGTCGAAACCCACCAACACTCCTTCTTATATACCTTATCCCCTCTCCCAAGYGCGMGTATCAAAGCTCCAACTMCTCCTACTTTCCACTATCCCCATTCCTTCGTCCTTCTATATCTCCTACTCYCGTCTCCTACCCTTCATYTACCCTCATCACTATTCCTACCATCCCCRGTTCTCGGCTACTTCCCCGCTGCCACGACCCACTCATATGCAACAATCGTTCTTACTAAACAYGACCCCRTACTCTGATCRTTTCGCCGAAAGCTYGCGTTCTCGTCTTCTTCCATTCACTTCCCTCCTCTTGTGCGTTCGCAAAACCCGCTCAGTCCCTCTCTTACTTGGCTCTGYGCCTGCCTTCCTCGTACCACGAAAGGCGGGAAATTCAAACTGTGTCACGCGAATGCGGTTCGAAAATCCTCTACTACGGCGCCATATGCCCGTTTTTTTTCTAACTTCGTATCTCATTTTTTTGTGGTACTTCACCCATTTTTAGTAGTGTACACACCAAAGCAAAATGTGGACCAGGCTTCTAAGTACTCGCCACTGGGCCCACATAGTCCGGAGATCTACTCCTAACAACAGAAACTTCAAAAAACATAAATCGACTCCCTTGGTTCTCAAAAACCCTTTCTCATCGCAGTAGGACTGCCGACTCGAAAACAAAGGGTTAGTAAATCAAAAGACAAGGGTTAGTAAACCAAAAAAAGACAAGGGCTAGTAAATCAAAAAAACCTCTCCAGCCCGGGGTATTCATTGAGGAGGTAAGTCCTCAACGTACCACCGGACACCCTGGCAAACCGCGCCAGGGCCCCGAGAGAAACCTCCGGGGGGTAGCCCCGGAGGCGAGTTTCCATCATCAGAGCGGCAATGGCCGCCATCATAGCTTTTTCTGAGCTTGTCAGCTTCGACATTCTGATGAGATTCGAAAAAACAGTAGCTCTCTTACATGATTTCTTCGAGAACGAGGTATAATCCTGAAACGAGGGAGGTCGGTGTGAGAGTCAGAGCAGTGAAAGAGAGAGAGGAAGAACAGAGAGACGTACCTGCATGTTGGGTTGTACGGCCATAGCCACTGCTGACCGAGAAGACAACCAAGTTTGCATCGACTATTGAGGGTCTCTTGGACGTTGTGCTTCTCACGTGAGTGCAGTGTGATGGGGGATTGGTGTCCGAGTGTTGCATGCATGGTGGTCTCGTCACAATAGCGAACACTACAACACAGAGGCACACTCACACACACATATTGCTGGCTGAGCTCATGTTTAGCGTGGGTTTTATGGCTGTGATAGACTAGTTTCTCAAAACTACTGCCATTCTTCTCAGAGGTTTGAATGGACAACAGTCTGCTAGGATTTCAGGGTTGGTGTCAGTAAAGCCAACCACTTTTCTCAGGGGTATCACTAACTCATGGTGACGTGCTGAGCGCTTACCCATCAGCCAAATGCATCCTCCGCAGACAGTCTGCGTTCAACCTCCCCATGAGTTGCTGATTGTGATAGACTAGTTTCTCAGACTGACTGCCATTCTTGTCAGGGGCTTAGACCAACAGTCTGCTAGGACTGCAGGGGTGGTGTGAGGGAAGTCGACCACTTTTCTCCGGGTAATCACTAACTCTGGGTAACATGGTGAGACCAGACCCGTGGTGATTGCTGGCAGCAGCAGCCAATGGTTGTTCTGACAGGATAGGCCACCTACCCTACCCATCCCCACGTTAATAGTCCCAGCGCACCCCCTGTCCCTACTATCCTACCTCAGTGTGACCAGCACTCAGGACCATCATTCTACCAGTATCTAGGACAACTTGGACTGGACAGCAGTGACAAGCACCAAGGCTGGGCCAACCCCCCAGCCCTAGTGGAAGCGGAAGCGGATGAACCTTGCCGTATGGGAACTTCGGACGCCAGGCTCATGCAATCTTCTACAGGCCCAATTCAGAGAGCCTACCCAGCAGGAGTACCTAAGCAAGGCAAGCCAGCCCCCACGGGCACATCCTACCGTCCTTCCCCTAACTTACCCAAGGCTAGGCGGAGTTCAGACAAGCCGGAGTGACTTATATCCCTACTCTACACTAGAGGTAAGCCGTGTGTGAGTAGACCCCGTCATATACCTGATAGACCCCCCCAGCCCAGTCTCATAGTTGTGTGTATATGTGTGCCCAGAGGCTATGTATGTTTGTATGAGCCTGTAGGCTATGAGTATATATGTTCACGAGCCATGTTTGTGTCTGCCCGAAGGTTATGTGTGCTCTGTGTAACTGTTAGTGTTACATGCCCAGTTGGGCGATGTATATATACAGCCAAGGATCCGCAATGTGATAAAAAGGACTGAATGGACAATGTGGTGTTAGTGGAATCTCAACAAGCAATGTACATCCTGATACATACAAAATGGCACCTTGTAGCGCAGTGGAAGACTTAGATATAAGCCCTGACCAGACCGGGACTGACCTCTCTCACGTGACACAAGACAGCACAGCGGAATGCTAGAATACCAATGACTAGCCCAATCAATGCCGCAACGCAGACCAAACATACATCATCCTCATCACAAGGTGTGAAGCGGGGCCTGGCGCTACACACAGGAAGAATGCGCCAGGTCCAGACCATACACAGACGAGGAGGAGGGGATCAGACGAAGAAGAGGGGGAAGATGGGAATGTCGTCAACACCAAGTCTTCGGTACAAGTCCCAGATAGTCCCTCGTCAAATGTCTGAAGCCCAATGTCGAGTCTGGATCCAAATGTCACCAGTCCCTCTCTCTCATAGTCTGCTGAAGCAGTGAAGTCAGGTAGCGAGAAGGTGAGGGGGATATGGTGGACTGAGAAGAGGAAGAAGAAGAACTCTCTCTCTCTCTCTCTCTCTCTCTCTCTCTCTCTCTCTCTCTCTCTCTCTCTCTCTCTCACACACACACACACACACATGTGCCAGGTACTAACATGTGAAGATAGCGCTGTGCTGCAGGTACCTCGACGGCGAGCTGGAGCTATGACGCTGCAGGTAAGTCTCCCTGGCCTCTGCCCAATCTCAGTCCCTCTCTAGTGCTACTCTAGCTCCTAATAGTGCCCAGCGCTGAAGACTACTGCTAACGCTACTACTACTACTGCAGCGCTCCTCCAGAGTGTTGCTGCCGAATCCTGAAGACTACCTCCTGCCTCCTGAACTGCACGTGAAGTGCCTGGGAAGTCCCTATGAACTACCTGCAGCCTGCAGGGCGGGCCGGTCTTATACAGTGCTGGCCCGTCCAGGAGGCTGCTCTTGCCAATGCCAAAACGTGCCAGACCCTGGCGTTGAAGCTCAAACAAAGGTTGTCTTGAAAACAGGCCCAAAATGGCCTGTGCTAAAACCCTGGTCTGGTGCCTGGGTTTCAGGGCAGGTCGATCTTATGAGGGCCTGAAAATGGCCCTCCGTTTCAGGCTGAAAAGACTCGGGGCCTGGAGGGCCCTGTTTTAGGCTGAAACGACACAGGGCCTGTAGGACCTTGTTTTTAGGCTTTCAGGCTGAAACGACCCAGGGCCTGAAAATGGCCCTCGTTTGCAGGCGCAGCATGTAACAGTTAGTGAGATGTATGTGTCCGAAGGCCATATATGTGCAGTACTATGTAGAGGGAACTATATGTTCGTTGAAGAGATGACAGGCCAAGCTGGACAAAGAACCCCCCCAAAGTCCCAAGCCAGACTCGAACCCGTGATCTATGACATGTGACCTGAAGACTTTACCATTTGAGCAACAATTGCAAATGGCCTCTGTGTGTGATATGCCAGACTGGGGAGATCAACAGAACAACCACAAGCAACAGCGACAAGCAACCCATGCAGTATCAAGACCCGACATACAACACTGTGGACAACCCTTGGGTTGTCTGTAATAGCTTACCTTCTGTCAGCCCAGCCGTGCGGCATTCTTTTTTCTTTTTCTTTTTTTTTCTTTTTTCACAAAGGCCCTCGTGCAAGACCTCCATCCTGGTGGTGGTAAGAGAACCACCGGGATTGAGGTTTTGCCTGGTGGGCCGCTGCGTCTATTGGTGGGGAGTATCACCTGCTGGAAACCGGGTCCAGCGTCCCTTGAATACATCTTTACAAGTTTATACATCATTGAGCCTGACTCCACTGTGCTGGAAACCGGGTCCAGCGTCCCATATCCGAACTCTTACTTCCCTTCCGATCCTGTGGCATGGTCGGGTGTTGGAGGGGGGGGGGGCACTGGTGGAGACTCCCTCCATTACCCAGCCCCTACCCTCCATCTGCTCTCCCCGTGGTGTATTGAGTTGGACTGAGTTGAACTGATGCCGGTGTCCATGCGTAAGGCTGCGGAGTTTTGAACCCGCAACCTTGTACCACAATGTGCATTTCCAACCGGTGCTCTAACCAAT